GCCATTCAGATTAGACCAGACCATCCACGCTGGCTTACATCACCTCAACTAGAAAAGTCAAAAGTGGAGTCTGGTTAACGTTAGACAACTTGTGAAACGAGAGACCCGAGCCCAAGGCCACAATAGACTATTTTATCATCTCAGAACTTGCCAGATAGGCTATTATGTTACACTGGAGCCTACATGACATCCAACACTACAGCAGAGAGGAGAGTGCATTGGTCGGTACTTGCACTTTTGTTCAGGGAGCAACGCCAAACTTAAAAAATCTGGAAGGCCAATTGAAAGTTGCCTAACCAAATTTAAAAAATGACAGTATTCTCACGTGAAGTGCTGCGTGGAGGATTGTCTGATCCTCCAACAACATAACATCTTTACCGTACAATACAGATGACTCCTTAAATGTCTAAAGTAGCCGATCTCCTGCTTGTAGGCTACCGATGAGGAGGGGCAAAGCAACTTAAAAGTGTGTCTATTTTTTTTTAAAATGGTGTTTGGCGTGTTAAGTGAAGCATTCTGCCACAAAAGATGAATGTTTTATGATGTCTTTCTTTATCTTTAAAGCCTACTGCATTTGCAGCAGTGTATGGCAAAACGCATCATAGCATTGCATGTTTGTACAGTGTGTTGTAGCTAATTAGAATTGCCTACAGCTGAAAAGTTGAGTAAATGCACATTTCGTCAAATTATATCACAAACACTTTACAACCCATCCCCATCCCCACATCCCATGCATTCACAGTGCACTGACAAAGTGTTTTTCTTTCCTTCTCCTTTATTTGGCAGGTAGTCTGGTGCTTATAATCTGCCAAAATAAATAGCCTGCGGATAATTAGGCCACTTCTGTGTTTTTACTCCACACTTGGAAGTGCATAGGGAAACTGATTAGCAGCCCTTCCCCTCCACCAAACCTTCAAGATATGAAGTTAGTGAACCCAGAGAGATTGTGGTAACAGTTGAGCATCTGGTGCTTGACTAATCTATTGGCTAGAGAGAGGAATGACTTATGATGGATCACCATTTTCGCTTATTCTAGTGTGTGTGTGTGTGTGTGTGTGTGAATGTGTACGATGGTGGTGGTTCTAAATTAAAAAGGTCAACATCAGCTAGTATTTATCAGTCATACCTTCAGATCAATGTTACAAGATACTTGCCCTGTTGGTAGCTCTAGTAGCAACATGTGAAGTGTCAGTGACATCATCCAGGTCATAGTTATCCAAGGAATGTTAAAGTCAAGGTACTTGAAGACATTTTTCCTCTCATTGAATGGGTTTCCTCAGTTCTGACTGACTGGTAGGGATCCCAGCCATTTAAACTTTGTGGGGTCATAATAAAGGCTTGGTTTGTTAGTGCTCCTGGTTGTTGTAACGACAGTCATTGGGGTCATCGGAGTCATGTGAGGCCAAGTGTCTCAGTCTTCCTTGTCTGTTTAGCGATGGTCTCTATTCTGCTGTAAATGGCCTCTTACAATCCTTTCAAACTATCTGTCCTCCTTGTGCAAAATACATTGTTGTCACTGAAAGAGTGTCCCTTATCCTTTTAGAGGGCTGTTTCACAAAAGCAGAATTTAGAAATCCAGGTTAACAGAAAAAGCTAAGCTTGACCTAGTGTGATAAGTGCATCCTGGCTTTATCAGTTTCACAAAGGCCAAACCATGCTCAGTAGAAGCGACTATGTCAAGCCAGGTGTAAGTATTTCAGATAAATGCGTGTCAACAGCTGGAAATGGAAAAGACATATGCAGCATACATACATACACAGTGAGTAACAGCGAATAAAAAGGTTTCCGATGAAAATATGCACATAATATTTAAAAAAAGAAAGAAACATGGCCGCAGTATTTCATGCATGAATTATGACAGCCTCTGTCAGGATTTTTTCCTGTGTTTTTATAGCTCTTTAGGCATGCAAAATAAAATTAGAATTTCATTTTTTTTAAACACACATTTTTCAAGGAGTTTTTTCCACTAAGGTGGACAGGGTGGGCATAAGGTTTTAACTTAAGAAATATTTATTTAACAAACTAATGAATAAAATTATATAGTATGTGAAAACTATGTTTTTAATGCTGTTAAACTAATGTGGTCACATATTAACATATTCAGATACAGTTTAGTGCAATGCAAAAACGTTGAACCTCACTTCTTCCTCCTCAGCCTCTTTTTCTCAGCATCCTCAGCTCCACTATCACTGCTGCTAGCATTTGGGGATCCTCCTATTTCTGTCAGCCATTCATCATCAGTGTTACTTGTATTATCCTCACTTGATTCTGATGGAATTTGCTCCACTATCCTGAATGCCTTTCTATTACTTTCTGCAACACACGAAATGTTACTGACATAATGGAACTAATCTGCACAAAATATTGTTTTCGTTACAGAAAGTGCAAGTAAGTAGCTAAAAATATCACTGCTCTTAACTGAAACTGTCATACTTATAACGTTACCATTCATGTTATGTTATACCTTTAAAAGTGAGAAGTGGACTTAATACAACCACAAATCAACATACTATTCAATTTAATTTAATTTATATAGCTCCAATTCACAACAAAAGTTATCTCCTTGCATTGAATTGTCTCTCTCTTTTAACGTCCACTGCTCACTTTTAAGGCACAATGACAGTTTCAGTTAAGAGCAGTGAAATTTACTTTTTATTTATTTATTTTTACAGTTTATTACACGCAAAAACCTCCTTGCTGTTGCTCACTGTGTGTAAAGTATGGTGCACGCATCTTCTTCTCCAATTATGAAACTTAATAACCACAAACTGTGTGCTACCATATTGCCAAAATGTAGGCTACCTGTGGTATTTTAATGCAGGCTAATGAAAAATATGCAAAGCGCATACATAAGAACATGGAATAACTGGAAAAAAAACCTTTGGTTTCTGATCGGTGTGACTGCTGGCTGAACAGATAAGGCACCAGGATTAACTAAGCCTGGCTGTTTGCCTGGTCTGGAGCAGGCTAGCTGCACAGAATAAACCACCATGGTAATTTATGTGCTACTGCTTTTGTGAAACCAAGTCACGACTTAATCCGGCCAGGATATCTGGAAAATCCCGGTTTAGTTCGCTATCTTGGTTTTGTGAAACAGCCCTCTGGTGTCCTCAACCAAAACATGTCCTGCACTTTATTTGTTTGTTATTTACACTTAAGTAAACCCTATTTCACTATCTCTACCTGCAATACAAGAACAAGTCTGTTATTTTCAATCATCTCATTACCTCACTAGTACACAAGTAAGCTACAATGCTAGTGAGCTAAAGCTGGTTACAAAACACAAAACAAAATATGTTAGCTACCTTTCCACAATTTTTCATTAGCTCACATTAAGCTAAAGCTAATTCAATCAAACAAACGATTATAAAGAGTTATTACTATAGCTCAAAACTAATTCAAGATACCAACCTCATCTTAATGTTACATTATTACGATCAAAATACTGACCAGTTTCTCTTCTGGGGTGCTAATACATTAAACGTTTCACTCTATGTACTTTACTTTTTACCGTTTCTCCTCTCTACCATTTCGCGTGGTAGGAACTCCTAAGTACCAGAGATTTGTTGTCAAAATAAAAAACCCTGTATTAAAAACAGGAAATAAGACAATATATGCTTAAAACAGAAATAAATATGTAATGAAAGTAATAACAATGGCTGTTCAACAGAGCTAAAACGTCACTTTGGTTAATTACAACTAGGGCTGCACGATGTTGGAACAAACTAACATTGCAATATTTTTCTTTTCTGCGATATATATTGCAATATGAAAAAACACAGGAAGTTTCATCAGATTACTTCAGTTGCTGTATTTTAAAATAAGCATCCTAAAAGAATCGATCAACTGAACAAGAATAATATTGGGATTGCTGGTTCACTGTGCACACAGTGCCTGCTCGTCACTCACTAGTTACAAACTGTGTATCCAAGAACTCATTTAAATCGGAGTAAATGATGTTACATCAGACAAACTTCTCTTTTAGATTAGACATTGAAAATGAGAACTGTCCAAGTTTTACTTTTCTATCAAGCAGTAAAAAAGCTGATGGGGTTAATTTGACTTGCTTGACATTGCACTGTTCTGCGATGTGACTATTGCGCAAGAGCACATTGCGATGACCATGTTCCGGCGATATTTACAGCTAGGGCTTTTCCTGCTTAGACAGATCAAAATGTGTGCTGTTAAAAAGGCCAGTGGGATAAGAGGAAACGACTAAATGTTGTGCATTATGAGAGATGTCCACACCAGTACCCCATTTTTTTTTTTTTTACATAAACGCATAACGTTAAATAGAAATGAAACGGACACATCACTATTAGTGACCAAAATGATCACGGTTATCAGTATTATCACAATATTGATAAATTGTTCAAAAAGTACTAATGCACACACTGAAACAATTTCACCAAGTTTTATTTTGAAACCCAGAAATAAAATTAGCAGAACTGTGCAATTTTTGTTTGTATAAACATTAAAATAATAACAGTCAATCTCTTATGTTAACTAGTGTTGGGCCAATAGACGATGCCAACGACCATTGCCGGTGGCTGACAGACATCACGACATTAAGCCGACATCGTGATTGTGCTGCCATCGTCCAATGCAAATTTGTAGACATAGCACAACCCTTATGTAAACATATTAACACTATAGTATGACCCCATGCACAATTTACATAAATACAGAGGAGTCTTGAAGGAGTCTGCAGTGTTTCTCCTGTTGAAACACTTTTACAACCAATTTGACGACTGCCAGATTTTTTATGAAGAAGATATGTTGGTTGGATGACTAAACGACGTAACGTGTTGTGCAGGGGGAAAACAGAGTTTGCAGATACATGACGTATAGGGCAGCAGAACAACATGTAGAGTTTTTACAAGAGTAGGTAACACAGAGCTTCAGTTTACAAGCTGTTAGCAAGTTAGACAGACAAACCATGTCATGTTCCCTCATTCCAAAGTCCACACATCATGTATTACAGCTAAAAGTTAACTTACCTAGCATTCACTATAAAGTTGTGGGCAGTGGTACGAAGATGACTCTCAAGATTCATAGTGTGTCCTTTTTCGCAGCGATTCAATGTTCCCTCCCTATTCAAAAAAATACGACTATGCTTCTTAGTCCCCTGACGACTAGGCTAAAAAATATCTGGAGCGCTGTCACTGGGTTACGACATGTTGTCCTTGACCCAAAATAAACCCACGTTGCATGCTGAGCGTGCACGCCTGGGTCTGTGAGACTGTTGCTAGCTTTGGTTGATGCTGGAGAGTGTTTACCGTGAGTATGCCAACTAGTTGAACTCGGTTATAACGATAATTCAAATTTGTAAAAGTAATACGAACAGTCAGGAATTCTACCGTGGGTCATCATTAAGCTGGTAACAGTTTCATCCATAGCGTTGAAACCTTTGCTGTATCCCATGAATTTGATTTTCAAAGAGCTGTGAACAAGAACTGAGTGGGACAGTTTTCAGTTGAAAATTAACTTTGTTGGTGCTCTTTGGTGAATAAACAATGTAAGGCGTCACTGTTTCTAAACTACCTTTAAAGATATCTTTAGCATTTCTTTACTGCAGTTTCTTTGTACTTTGTACTAGCTGATACAAAATATATCTGCACTAAACTAATATCAGCCAAGGCTAGATAGAATTAGGTGTTAATGAAAACAATAATCTCTTTGTAATATGGTTACACCAACCCTTGTATGCGTTATGTGTTCCACTGTGTCAATTTTGTGTGTGCAGTCTGAGTGCATGTGTGCACACTCTAAATCACAGTCCAGTACAGTGTACTTTTTTGTTGTGAGTGTTCCCAGGGTCTCCACCTTCTGTGTTTCAGAGTGAGAAACTGCCAGCAGAGGTTAGTTATATAAGCCTGGTGGATGTTACATCATTGTTTTGGGGCCCTGGTCCGAAAAGCTGGGGTTCAGTCTTCAGATGGGTCCAATGTGTCTGCTGCCTCCTACAAAACCTCTCAGAGGAGGAGGAGGGGGAGACACAGGGAAGCTATTGGAAGCAGATGCTCAGCGAGTCACTCCTGCCGGGGACATGGTTCAGTACGAGTGATGAAACAAGGTCCCACCTGTAACATTGTCTTTGAATGTGTTGTGTAGTTTTTATCTATCAGTGTTTGGTGACTGATGTATGCTGGAAGTATGGTTTGGGTGGGCTTGGTTGCCATGACATCAAAGAGAAAACATGGAAAACAAATGATTTATAGGTCTGTAATCTTACAAAACAACCCCACCTCTTTTGTTTTCCAACAGTTAATCACTCTCAAGAAAACAAAAACAAAGTTAAATTCACAAAATGTTATATTCAAAGAATAAGGATTTTTGCATTCCATGAAGATATAAAGTCTATTAACCTGGAACAGCATACTTTTTAGTGGCCTTGAGGATCTGCACTCACTGTTCCAGATCATTTATCTATGAAAACAAGCCCTCGCATTACCCTCTTACAGATATAGATTCCCCAAATTGCTATTACAAGAGCATCTGTGAGGCTCAGTGGTCTAAGGTATGTAAAACCAAAACTCTGGACGTGATTGTGATTCAGGTAGGGCTGCAGCTAACGATGATTTTAGTATTTGAAGCTTCTATAGATTATTTCAACGATTCATCGATGCGTCGTTTAAGAAGTACTTTTACTTGGCGGCAGCGACTGTGAGGTTACAACTCACGGCCCAAAAAGGAGAACAAACGCACCTGTGCACATTTTCAGCTGAGGACTGCGGCTTACTTTGGCTAGCCTTCAACTCAACAATCAATCATGATTTCAATTAAATGCTAAAGTTGCTGTTACTGTTACCTTGTCTGTGGTCCGCTGGCAGAACACTGGCTGCTTTCTGATAAGGCGCCGTCGTGCTGTTGCCGAGGCGACAAAAGTTTCGTTTTACGGTGGACGGACGGTAACATTACAGATATGTTGTTTTCTTTAGCTTGAAATAATCCCATACTTTGTACACTTTCTTTTTTGTCCCTCGCTGTTTTCTCTCTCTTCCCCCACTTTAAAAACAGCTCCATCATTATCACGTCGTGTTCACAGCGTAAACACGATGTGCGACAGTAATAAATGCCCCTGCGAAACACTGTGTTGTATAGTTACATGGATTAAATGAACCATCGATGCAAAGAATTTGTGTTGAAGCATTTTATGAATCGATTTAATCGATAAATCGTTTCAGCCCTAGATTCAGGTTCTACGTTATAAGGCTCCTAATTTAACTATGTTTTGTTGATTTCCCTTGTGTACGTACACTATCTCACATTTTAGCAAATATTTGATTATATCTTTTCATGTGAAAACACTGAAGAAATGACACTTTGCTAGTAGTAATGAGTGTACAACTTGTATCACGGTGTAAATTTGCTGTCCACTCAAAATAACACATCACACAGCCATTAATGTCTAAACCGCTGGCAACAAAAGTGATTACACCCCTCAGTGAAAATGTCAAAAATAGGCCCAAACTGTCAATATTTTGTGTTGAATGTAGGCAAGACACACATGTCTTTGTACTCCTCACCTGGTTGCTGCCACACCCTTGACACCATCTGAACCAAATAAGTTTATCTTGGTCTCATCAAAGGTTATTATAGTTAATGAAGAGAAACAAAATAACGAAAACTAGATGTGAAAAAACATTGTCATTAACTGAAATAAAAATAAAACAAGACTTTATAAAAAAAATAAAATAAAAAATAACTGTCTTGTAGGTTTGCAAAACTAACTAAAACTAACTAAAATGAAAGAGTAAATGTCCATAGTTTGAGTTTATTTATTATTATTTTTAATTAGTTAGGGGAGGCTAAGTTAGTCGGGGAGGCCCAGGTAAGGATCGGCTGTGTAGTTGGCGGCTTTGAACATGTTTTATATTATCCTTTATACTTACATGTGTACAAAATAATATGAATGCAACAACTGTATAGAGCTATGTTTTGTTTAGTTCGGGTTGCAGGTAGTGAGTCACTGTCTTATTTAGACAATGTCTTAGTACTTCAAATATTTGCTTAGTGTTTGGGCCCCTACGTACAAGCTTCAGATAGCTTAAAAAAAGGTGTCCCTTTTCACAAATCTGCATTATTTCTAATGATTGTACTTGTATTTAATGTTTTGTGAAAAAACTACACTGGACTAAACTAAACTGAACAGAGCTTGGCATCATGCAGCAACAAAGACTAAAACTAACACTGAAACTAATAAACTAAATGAATAATAAGCATTTTCAAAAAATAAAAACTTAACTACGAAACCCACATTAAAAACTAATTAAAACTAAACTGAAATTGAAAACAAAAAGTCAAAATGAAACAAAAATAAAAACTAATGAAAAATCCAAAACTGTAATAACCTTGGTCTCATCAGACCACAGGACTGGTTCCAGTAATCCATGTCCTTAGTCTGCTTGTCTTCAGCAAACCGTTTGTGAGCTTTCTTGTGCATCATCTTTAGAAGAGGCTTCCTTCTGGGACAACAGCCATGCATACTACATTTAAATGCAGTGTGCGGCGCATGGTCTGAGCACTGACCCACCACCCCTTCAACCTCTGCAGCAATGCTGGCAGCACTCATACGTCGATTTCCCAAAGACAACCTCTGGATATGAAGCTGAGCACGTGCATTCATCTTCTTTGGTCGACTATGGCGAAGCCTTTTCTGAGTGGAACCTGTCCTGTTGAACAGCTGTATGGTCTTGGCCATCGTGCTGCAGCTCAGTTTCAGTAATTAGGCCCAATTTGGACATTTTCACTTAGGGGTGTACTCACTTTTGTTGCCAGCAGTTTAGACATTAATGGCTGTATGATGTGTTATTTTGAGGGAACAGCAAATTTACACTGACAAACTGTGCACTCACTACGTTACATTGTAGCAAAGTGTAATTTCTTCAGTGTTTTCACATGAAAAGATAGAATCTAATATTTACAAAAATGTGAGGGGTGTACTCAGTTTTGTGAGATACTGTATGCATGCCTTCTTAAAAGTGGTTTTAAGTCATTTAAAACCTTTTATCTACCTCTGTTGCTAGTTAGAAGGAACTGCACCAATATTCTGAATCAGTTGTTAAGTAAGTAAATGTTAAGAGTTTTGAGGATAGAAAGTGAGTTTAGATATGTCAACATTTGGTGAAGTCATCACTGACTTAATGCTGGTATCAGTTGACAAAGATTTTAAATGTGTTCTGTGAGAGTGAATTTACAGTGGGCAATATGGATGAAATCTCTATCATAGGACATGAATTTTTTTGATATGTATGTTAGGGCTGCAACTAACTATTTACAGATTTATCTGCGGTGTATTTTCAATTAAAGGTGGAGAAGGCAATTTGGGGCGAACAACACAACAAGTAATGTAACTAACATTACCTAAGTTGTGGGTTAGCAAACTGCCATTACAGTTGCTGCTGCGAAGCTAACATGCAAAGGGGACGAGATGGTCCAGAGCAGGACAGCAGCTCCAGACAGCGATACTCATAACTCTCATGCTGCTATAGCTAACATTACAATAACAGCATGTCTTGGTGAACTAGAAAGTAAGCTGAATGTCTGTGGGCAAATCATTTAATGTTACCTGACACACACATCATGGCTGGAATAGTGTTGTATGGCTTGGTCCTAGCCACTTTGTTTCCCATTTAAAGAGCCACGGCTGTGTATAAACACCAGATTTTTTTTCAGCACACAGACAAAACTGACAGCTAGTGGACCGTTAAGGGATATAAGCTTAGACAAAAATATGTATATTTCATTAGAATCACATACCCCACCTTTACTCGTCTGTAAAATGTCAGAAAATTGTCCAAAGCAGGTTTCCAGACTAACTTTTTTTTACGAGGAGCACTGTATCACCTGATTGAAAATTCTGCACAGTCAGAACATTTCGGGGCACACACCTTAAATTGACCTGAAATGCAGTTTTTCACATTATAGCCCATTTAACTGTATTACTGATAAATGGAAAACTACAATGTGCTGTTTTATTTTATTTCATTTCACAGTCCCATTTTAATTGAATGGTGCTTAAACAAATACACATACCGGAAGTGTAAGTGCTGTTTCATTTGTGTATCTGTCTCGGCATATTTTATGTTTTAAGCTGCAGTTGTTCTTCATTCAAGGTGCCAGTAGCCTCAGCAAACTTGTTTTTTTCCCTGCATGTTGTGGACCACATCTAGTACAGAATATACAGGTCATGGTGTGTTTGCTAAATCTAAGCCATGTTAACTCCCTCAGCCAGAGGCCGACTGGCACAATAATTCAGGCCAGGAATTTGACTCTATCCCAGGCCACCATGTTCACGCAAACCACCAGACCGCTAATATTGTAGACTAACCCCATTAGTTGCTGTAACAGGTACCAAACGTGGTATAGATTTGGCCACTATGTTCATCTGGGGAAAAATGTTATCTACATTATAAAATACAAACATTTGGGACTGACCATCATAACCTTTCAGAACCCTGAGTTTAAAGGTGGCTATGGGTGCAGCCTCAAAACCCTCTGAGAAATAGCCAACACCAATCATAGCACAAATATACAAGACTAGACACAAAAAACATTTAGCCAACAATTTAAAAAAAGAATGCAAAATACAGATTTTGCTCAAATGTTCAAATTATTATCCTTATATTCAAGCATCGGTCATATCAAAACGTCACACACACCTTCACTGAACTTGAACATAAGCTACAACAATGAAAGCAACTAACGTCTGTACGCTATATAAAGCAATGTCATTTTATTTATACACACACACACACACAGCTCAGAAAAATAACACATCCTAGATCTGAATGAATGAAATAATCTCATTAAATACTCCTTTCTTTACATAGTTGAATGTGCTGACAACAAAATCACACAAAAATGATCAATGGAAATCAAATTTATCAACCCATGGAGGTCTGGATTTGGAGTCACACTCAAAATCAAAGTGGAAAACCACACTACAGGCCGATCCAACTTTGATGTAATGTTCTTAAAACAAGTCAAAATGAGGCTCAGTAGTGTGTGTGGCCTCCACGTGCCTGTATGACCTCCCTACAACGCCTGGGCATGCTCCTGATGAGGAGCCAACTCCTGGACAGTCTGGTGCAACGTAGTGTTGGTGGATGGAGCGAGACATGATGTCCCAGATGTGCTCAATTGGATTCAGGTCTGGGGAACGGGCGGGCCGGTCCATAGCATCAATGCCTTCCTCTTGCAGGAACTGCTGACACACTCCAGCCACATGAGGTCTAGCATTGTCTTGCATTAGGAGGAACCCAAGGCCAACCGCACCAGCATATGGTCTCACAAGGGGTCTGAGGATCTCATCTCGGTACCTAATGGCAGTCAGGCTACCTCTGGCGAGCACATGGAGGGCTGTGCGGCCCCCCAAAGAAATGCCACCCCACACCATTACTGACCCACCGCCAAACCGGTCATGCTGGAGGATGTTGCAGGCAGCAGAACGTTCTCCACGGCGTCTCCAGACTCTGTCACGTGTGTCACATGTGCTCAGTGTGAACCTGCTTTCATCTGTGAAGAGCACAGGGCGCCAGTGGCGAATTTGCCAGTCTTGGTGTTCTCTGGCAAATGCCAAACGTCCTGCACGG